TAAATCCCTGTTTGTCACAGTTTTCAATTTCTCTTTCCATTCAGATTTATGGAGAAAGTTCTTCCTGTGCTGGGAGAGCTCTCAGGAATATTTTTACTCTACGAGCGTCTGACCTGATTAAAGACAGGGTGTACCTTACTGGGGTTTGCAGGTAATCCAAGATCACTCATTTTAATCATCTAGCTGTGGTTTTTTTGCATCTGTCTGTGCCCTGATTTGACAAAAGAGTAAATTCTGAGAGTGACATATTGTGTGGATTACCAAGAATTGAAAATATTTTTTAAAAAATTCTTTTAAATCACATGAGTTTTAATATCTTTTCTTATGTTACTTTGTAATTTGTCAGAAAGCAGCAGTGGCCTCGTTGTATGTCCATTAATTTAATTGCTTATGGTTTCATATACAGTTGTGTTTGTTATTTTGTAGAAAAAGAAGAGTATTAAATTCAGCCCTGGTCTGGAGTTATAAAAGAGTTTAATCGGATTCTTAAGATTTAGTCACACGGTGATTTTTGCATGTAATTAATGAAATATTTCTGTGATTAAGTGATTTTCCATTAGTGTTGCATTACTGCATAAATGCTTCCTCCTATTTTCAATTATGCCAAATGAGCAAGTTTCTGTTATAGCACCATTTATTTATATCTATATAGAAGAAAAAGCCACAACCTTTTTTATTTTCATGATGTTAAAAGGTAAATTTACCAATAATGTGAAAGAAAAAGTACATCTTAGAGCAGCGCTCAAGGTCTTACACATATTGTAGAGCTGAATTACTTACGCCTATGCTCAGAAGGGAAATAAGATGCTGAGGCTAAAAGCTGGATTTTATTTAGCTTTTTTACTTCTTTGGTTGACTGCCTGTATGCAGCACAAATTGATGAAAACGCAATATTGTAAAGTGTGCCACATGAATTAGGTAGGTAAGGGAACTTATTCATCTAACACGAGTTCCCTTGTTGTAACTAAGGGCTTCCCCTGAGACTTGCCAGAGTAATTTCTTCCCTTGAAATGAATAAGATTACAAAAATTAGTAATTTAGGGTTTGCCCTGCTGAGCAAAAGGATTCACTTCTAATAACTTCAAAACCCAGGTCTTTATTATAAAAGAGCATTTGATCATTACTGCAGTTTAAGAAGTGATGTTTTGGTTTTCTTCAGGAGAAGCTGTGTTGGATCAGAACTGGTAGACTGGCTTTTGGAGCAGTGCCCTTTTGTTAAGTGCAGATCTACAGCAGCTGGAGTGTGGCAGCTCCTCCTGGATATGGGCATAATATTATCAGGTCAGTCTTGATAGTACTTCTAGCGTGAGGGAGGCAATCAGTTTCTTCTGCATAGCGTAAGACTTAGTTTTTTGATGGAAGAGGAAGAAGGGAAAGAAAAAAAAAATTATCAATTTTCCTTGACAATTGTTTATTTCACTCTCTCTCCAGATAGTAAACTCACCTCTGTGACCTTTCATTTCATAAATACCAAAGATGAATATCTTTTCTTAGGCAATTTCCTTCCTTTTGCTTTTGCAAATATAAGCTGCAGACAAGAATGTGTGTCTTTTCCAGCCTTCCCTCGAGCTCTTTCAGGTTTTTCACACAACAGCAGCTTTTTAGTACGGTAGGTACTTGCCAGATGACTTCTCTAGCTATAAGTGTTTTTCCCTTCTTTTCTCTGCTTTTTATAATTTTAGATTTTTGTATTGAGAGAGGATTCAGCTCCTTCAGATGGTGGTGATGCCAGGTTCTACCCAGCTGTCCCTACCTTCCACACCAAATCTAGGTGTTTGGCCCAGCTAAAGTGTTTAGTGATAATTACATTGATAACCTGTCTCTGGAAATCTGATGTACATTACTTTGTAGCTGGGTCTACTTAGGTATCTCAACTCAGAGAATACCCCACCCTGGGGTCTGTGCTAGACATTTAGCTTTCCTCCTTGAAAAAAGGTCAAGTGTTATGGAAGATTTCTGCTTATGTGTGCTGACAGTATACGTAAAGGTTTTCTTTTGCTCCAACTACACTGGCAGTGTGTCTGTTCATGCAGCCTGAAGGAGGGCTGAATGACTCATATTTGAGGAGAGGCTGGGATAATGCTGCATCCCCATTATTGAACTTTGTTTACTGCTGCCTGGCCATTAGTGAGAACAGATTAGAAGTCAGTGGAAATCAAGGCTCAGAAATGGAGCCTCAGTGGAAGGTTTTTATCCCCTGCTTCTGAACTGATTCCAAAACTGTGTGAGCCTGGAGATCTTCAAATTGAGGTTTTGGGGTTGCCCTCTTTGGATGCACTGAGTTAATATGGGAGGGCAGAACTGCTTCTATACTGAGTTTGCAATCCTTTTGCCCTGTTGTGTGGTGGTGCAACTTGGCACTGAAGTCAAGCACAATACAGAATGGGGGGCACACAGAGAGTTGACATGGTAAAGGTTTAAAGGCTATCTAATATTATTTTTTTTTCTAACAGTGGACAGACAACTCTATTTTCAAGACACTCATGCTTTCTACCAGTTCTCAGCGGATGAATGTACCTACCTTTTCTGTGAATTTGAGAAAGAGGAAGGATGGAAGAATGGAGTAAAGCTCCTACTTCAACTACTGCCATTGTCCCCTCCCAGGATTGACATGTGTAATCTGTAAGTGGGCCTATACAGCTGTTTGCAGCTTTGCTGCTTTGTAAGTGGGTGGCTTATAATGACACCGTTTATAATGACACTGTTTACCCCCAAACCACCATGCAAATGATCCAGCTTTCTTTGCAGTGTTGACAAGCTTTGTAGAGGTGGGCTTTTCATCTGAGAAAGTCAGTGTAAGTAGATAGATGAAGGCACTTGACTTGGTGTTTTTGGTGTATTGTGGTTGTTAAGCACTGGCCTGCTGACTCTAGCTTGCTCTATTACCTGGGCAAATGGCTTTATTATTCTTTAGTCTCCTCTTACATTTGGAAGTTTGGCATGACTTTGGTAGCAGATGTGCTGTGGAGCTAACTGACTCCAGATTGGATGCCCTCATGCTGTGTCAGGATCAGCCATCAGATGGGTAGAGAGAGAGGATGGGTAGAAATGTGGTAGCTTGGGTCATCTGATTGTAGCTTGCTACTGCGTGTTTGCCAGAGCTCTGGAGTCTCACATTATTATCCTGTCTTCACAATATGCCTTTTAAGAGTTTTGTTTCCTGTCCTCTTTCACCTGTCTACTGGATGTTATCATACCCTCTGTGTTGATACAGCTGTGCTCTAAATGTGTATTTAAAGCAGCTAGAAGGAAACCATAGTTATTTGTGCCACAGTGTGAGGCCAAAATATAGGAAAAATGTGTCAGTGAGAGGTCTGGAGCCTCATGACCCTTCATGCTTTAGCAAATCTGCAGGGGCTGGCCTGGATAGACGAGTCAGGTTAAATTCTTTCCTTGTCCCTAGCACAATGAGTCCTCAAACCTGATCTTGCACTGTAGAGAACTATTACTCTGCCAGTATTAGGATTTGTTCTCTTTGATGTCAAAGACAAAACTTTCTCCTATAAGTGCTTTCCTTCTCTACATATTAGTTTTAAAAACCACATTCTCTCAAATAAACGTCCAATGGAAATATTTTAAAGGCGCACAAAGCCCCAAGACCCCATAAGCTGTCTCAAGCCCAGCTTCTTAAATTCGGACATGTTGAGCTGATAGAAAAAAAATAATCCCAATAATACTTCTGCATGGCTCAGGGCAGAAGCTTGATTCCCTCCCTTGTTGCTGACTGCCCTCACTAACCAGAAGCTGGCAGTTCTGGAGTGGAGATTTCGTTGCAAATGCATTTATTTCGTCAGCTTGAGAGAGTGTAGCCGACTGACAAGGACCCCAAATTGTCTAGAGCAGGGGACTGAATGAGATCTTCTAAGCAGATGGCTTATATGGGAAGAAACCTTTGAATAGTTTTGCAAATAGAAATTCTTGTCTTCCAGCCTTACTAAGGAGTTTGTCTGTCCCTTAAATATCAGGCAATTTCATCTTTATTGAAGCAGGAATTGGGATTTTCCTCATTATCACTGCAAATCAGGCCACTTTTCATGGTTCATGACTACTTATACAAAGGCTTCGAATCAAAAAGACAGAACAGATAGGTTGTATTGTTGTGTAATGTGAAAGACATTGGGTAGGAAAATGGATTGAAGACTTTTTAGGTTTGAATTAAAAATGTATCCTGCATGCTGACCTTGGCTGGAGACTACCACTATTTTAAAAGCTGCTTTGGAGTTTATCATTCCAGTGCAACTGTCATTTCTAGTGGAGGATGATCCCTGTCACACAAATTGGACAGTTATTCATTAATGTACATTTCTAGCACCTTCCAGCTCGTATTATTCAAATTTTAGTTGAAGTTGGATTCCTTTTGGGAATATTGTCACTGAAGAATGATTTTCTGGATACTTTATCTGTCAGATTGTGAGGGTGCTTTTTTTAAAAAAAAATACATGTTGAAGGTATTGAATTTTAAATTGTGGTATACTCTTGAGGGAGTGTGATGTTAAAGGGGAAGGAGGCTTTTCTAGGTTCAAAATTCTCCATGTTTGATGCAAATAATAAACTACTAAAAGGAATTCTCAAAAGGAGTGATGTTGTGAGATATTTGTAAAAGTTATCTAACCAGGTTAAATAAACCCATATACTCTTTTTTCATGAAGAAAGGGGGCAATTCTGAAAACTTCCTTGCAGTGAGTGCTTGTCTTTTCTCAAATATATAAGCCATTTTGCATACCATTAGAAAATAGAAATTAGAAATTTTGCAAACTGTTGCTCTTCTGGAAACCCTATTAAATAAATGTGATCCGGTATTGATTTACTGTAGAGATTTTTGGTGGGTTTGTATTCGTTTGTGGTCAGTATGAGCAAATAATACAGTAGGAAGTTCTACAGTTGAAAATAGCATTCTGAAACCTGAGACATGCTTACGGTTCCTGAATAAATGCTCCCTGTTGTCTTTTGACCTTGGCAAATTTCCTACATTAAACATAACATTGGTGGGAATCTACCATGGAAAACAAGACAGGACATAGCAGATTTTTAGCAGCTCACACTGAACTGAAGGCTCATGTTTTGTGTATTCCACAAGACTGAACCCCTGTGAATGTTGTCAGATGGGAAGGGACTGATGCAGAGCCCTCTTGAGGTCATTAAACACCCTATGTTAATCACAGCCAATTATTCTTGAATAGAAAAGAAGTTAATATTGCATTAGCTTGGGAACAAAAGATCTGTACTGAAAGCTGTGCCATGGACTTCCTTACAGCCATGAGCAATCACTCAGGCTCTCACCCAATGTCTCCTGAATTCTTTTCCAGTGACTGCAATGGCTTTGTATCAGGTATTAAATCTTTGTGTGCTTCTATTTCCTTCTTTGTAAATGTGAGTGTTTATAACACCTAATTCCCAGAACTACTGGTAGACTCGAAGATTTCAAGAATGCACTGGGTATCCTAGAACATATCCCATATTTTTAAAATTAATTATTTGAAGGAAATTAACAGGGGATTTTTTTTCTTTATCTCATATTGCTTGCTATTTTCTTTTCAGAAGCATTACACTGTGTTCTATATCTTCTGTCCTGAAATAATTTACATTTTATTAATTTCAGATAAGTAACTGTTCTTAACAGTAATGCTTTTAATGCAAATATCCAGGATGGGATATTCATTTCCTTACTGCCTTTTGGAGTTCCTGGAAAGCTTTTGCTGAATGCAGACAGCTTTGGGGTCTAATATTGGCATTATAGGTGGACTGTAAAGGCAGCATAAAGACATATGTAGTGGCTTTACATTGGACAGGTGAGGTCCAGGCCCATGGGTGTATCCATATTGTTTCCTCTGTCAGCAGGACAGGAAGGTCTGTAGTTGCTTTCATGTGGTGTGCAGTAATAATTGTGCTGGATCTGACTTGCCTGGATGCAGATCTAGGACAAGTGTCCCTGCATCTTGCTGTGCTTAACACAGTACTGAGACCATGGGCCACTGAGCTGTATAAGCATTAAGCGTGTTTGCCTGGGCTTTGTAGCTCCTCTTGGTACCAGCCCTACTGGGGCTTAGATGGCCCCTTTTGAAAAATAATAGAGTGATATCTGTCCTCATTCTGTTCCTCAGTATCCATTCTGTCTTAATTTTTTCCATTAGCTTGGGTATCAAAATATATGCTTCCTGTCTGATTCTGAAGAGCTGAACATAATTTTTATTATATTAATGGTTTCAGAAGTATTTGATGCTCATACACAGATGAATACTGGGAGTATTTTTAAATAGAAGTTGAAGTGATAAAGGCCCAAGATGTAAATAGCTATGCTGTATGTTCTTCTGAGTTCATAGTTTGCATCTGTGGCTGTCTACTGAGCTGCTGTTTTGCCTACAATTTAGAGGAATCGGGTCCTAGCCTGGTTCTGAGAGATCAGACGTGTAGAGAAACATAGGCATCTAAGGAGATCAGTTATTTTACTTCTTGAATACCATGAAAAGTAAAGATCTCAAGGTCTTTTTTTTTTTTCTCCTTCCCATAGTGGTAACTCTATCATATCAGTATCTTCTTCTGGTTGTCAGTAAACCTTCCAAAAGGCTCACAGATGTTTTAGTGAGGGGAATTAGACTGTTCAAAAGAAAAACACAGTCCTATCCTGTGCTGTTCACAGCAGTGTTTGTGTGGCATTTTCCACGTGGGCCAGAGTTTTGTGACAGTTTCTAGAATGGTTCTTCCTGTGCTGCCCCATTTTTCCAAAGACACATGAAGTCTCTCTGTCTTAAGACAAGCTAATAGCATTCTCAGCTATTGCTTTAGTTTGGTAATTTCTGGCTTCCTACATGTATTCTTTTCATTTTAACTTTTTTACAAAATATCAAACTTCATGAGTCACATAATGATTTTGATGTTGTCTGCTTTTATCTATGTGAGCTTGTATTCCGTAGGAGTTGCTCCACACCTAAGGAAATCTGGGTGGTAGGCAGATGGAGAAGTCTTTGCTCTGTTGATGGAGTATGTTTTTAGCAGAGCAGAATATGCATTCTGATAAGCAGCTCTCAGCCAAGAGGGTCCTGCGTTCTACAATTCTTTATGATACTTTCATAGCTGAAAAATTCTGTCACTCTTCTACATTTGTCAAATCAAAAGAACTCTTGACAGCAAGGGACAAAGGGTGTACTCCATTGTTATTGACACAATTAATTATTGTCATGTTGCAGTCATCATTTTGATGGGGACTCTCAAAAGCCATTTTGCATTAGTGCCTGTGGCTACACAGTTCCTTGCTTTCCAGCAATCAAAAGGTGTTGAAATAAAATGAAAGAAATAATAAAATTTTATTTTTATTTTTTAAGGCCTGATCAAAAGATAGAAGACACAGCAGAAACCAATGCTGAAATTCTTGCTCGACTCACTTCTGCGGTAAGGTCACTGCATCAAAGTTTGTACTGATCATTTTTGAAATATTGACATGTTTTGGATCCTTTCAAATTAAAGATTTAGTCTTAGTGAGCAGATGTTTGTAATGCAACCTACTTTGTCACTGAACAGAGGAAGCTTTACTGAGGTCTTAGTGTGCACTTCCAAAGCTATGAAAATCAGTCTGAGCAATGACTATTGCCACCTGCTTTCTTGTAACCCATTCTATTCATGGCCCAGGAGACACCAACTTGTAGAATCATGGTGATTTTTTTGTGAGGCAGCTTAAACACAGATTCTCTTGGGGAAGTGGACATCGGTGTGAATGATGGGGTGAGGGACAAAGGGAGAGAAAGGGCCTCGGCAGCCCTGACAGAGATTATCATAGACTTCTGAGGAGACCCATCAGGGAAGCCTGGGTATCTGGCTTCCCAACCACGTTTAGTCTCAGTAAACTCCATCGTAATAAATAATAGCTTATCTTGTCTGTGCTAGAATTTGGTGCATCTTGTTGTAAGATGCTCCTGGAATGCATTGAGGATAACTTCTTAAGCCAGGTAACAGACAGCTCTGAAGGTATACAAGTCTACATGACCTGACAAGAGGCATCTGTGGGTCCTGAGGGAACTGGCAGATGAAGTTGCAAAGCTGCTTTCCATCATATCTGAAAAGTCACGGCGGTCTGGTGAAGTCCCCACTGACTTCTGAAGGTATACAAGTCTACATGACCTGACAAGAGGCATCTGTGGGTCCTGAGGGAACTGGCAGATGAAGTTGCCAAGCTGCTTTCCATCATATCTGAAAAGTCACGGCGGTCTGGTGAAGTCCCCCCTGACTGAAAAAGGGGAAAAATAAACCCCAGTCTGAAACAGGAAAAAAAAAAAAAAGACATGGACAACTCCAGGCCAGCCAGTCTCACCTCTGTGCCTGGCAAGGAGCAGATTTTCCTGAAGGCTCTGCTAAGGCACATGGAAAATGAGGAGGCATTTGGTGGCAACCAGCATGACTTCAGCAAGGGCAAATTGTGCCTTGGTGAATTTGGTGGCCTTTTATGGTGGAGTAAGTGTAAGGTCCTGCACCTGAGTAAGGGCAATCCCAAGCACAAGTACAGGCTGGGTGGAGTATGGGTTGAGACCAGTCCTGAGGAGAAAGACTTGGGTGTGCTGGCTTAAGAAAAGCTCAGCATGAAAAAACAGTGTGTGAATGCAGCCCAGAAAGCCAGCTGTATCCTGGGCTGCTTCAAAAAAAGTGTGGCCAGCAGGTCAAGGGAGGTGATCCTCCCCCTCTGCTCAACACTCATGTGACCCCACCTGGAGTGCTGTGTCCAGCTCTGGAGTTCCCAGCACAAGAAGGACATGGACATGTTGGAGTGGCTCCAGAGGAGGACCGTGAAGATGATCAGAGGGCTGGAACACCTCTCATATGACCACAGATTTAGAGAGTTGGGGTTGTTCACCCTGGAGAAGAGAAGGCTCCAGGTAGACCTTATTGCAGCCTTCCAGTATCTGAAGGGGGCCTACTAGAAAGGTGGGGAGGGACTTTTTATGAGGGCTTGTAGTGACAGGATGAAGGATAATGGTTTTAACTGGAAGAGGATAGATTTAGATTAGAAATTAGGAAGAAATTCTTCTCTATGAGGGTGGTGAGACACTGGGAGAGGTTGTCCAAGAATGTTGTGGGTGCTCCATCCCTGGAGGTGTTCAAGACCAGGTTGGATGGGGCTTTGCACAGCCTGGTCTGTTAGGAAGTGTCCCTGTCCATGGTGGGGGGGTTGGAACTAGAAGATCTTTTAGGTCCCTTCCAACCCAAACCATTCTATGATTCTATGATTGTAGAAGATAATAGCTGTGGTGAACAATGCCAAGGCAGAAAGGCAGCAGGGGAAAAAACTGCAGAGGTTTCTTTATCATCTTAATTTGTGCATAGTGTATAGAATACACCTCTTCTATGATCAGAATCAGATAGAAAAGATAAGAAACTTCTCAAGGGTCTCACTTTTTCTTTACACTTTATGCTACAACAGAAGAAGAAGATTCAGTTGAGATGACTGAATGGAGTCTATCAAGTTATATGCTCATATCGCATGCTCCATTACAATGAGGCACTGACAACACCATCAAACTTAAATTGTAAAGGCGGCTGACATGCAAGCAGTGCAAAGTGCCATTTGAAATACGTTTGCATTGGATAATCTCTTTGGTCATGAATTTTTAAGAAAATGCATTGATTACTCCTGGGTTTAAAGCAGCATTCTAGAGCTGTCATGCATCCCATGTCATGTCCCAAAGAGCAGCTTCATATTCAATGTCTTGTCTGCTAAAACCAGGGCACAGTGGGATGGCTCTAGGTGTTTCCACTGCAAAGCTCTCACCTTACCTTCTGATGGGACAGAAGAGACTATCAGGATGTTAATGCAGCATATCTGGGAAATACAGTTTTCTGGTATTTTAATGCATTTCATCCAATGCAATTTTATTTAGAGTCCATCGTGAGTTGAGATGCAAAAATGTGAACTAGACTCTTCTTCCAAACCCTGCTGTTTAGAGTTTCTCACTGCAGGATTTCATTTAAGCTTTGTCTCTAGATCTGAAGTCCTGTTTGGCACACTGACATCTAGAATACTGTTTCACAAAAGACTACTTTAGGCAGAAAAGAGAGGAGAGAAAAACAGTGAAGGTGCAATGCACTGTCTACTTGATGCACAACTATGCCTTCTATGATAAAATGACTAGATTAATGGATACGAGAGCGGTAGTTGTCATTTGCTTTTGAAAAATCTCTACCTCTGTCCTTTGAAGATGAGAAGATTCACCATATAAATATGCCATTTGTATTTAATCAAGCAGAAGTATACATGGGTACCGCTCTGTATGCACACTCTTGCTCTTTTGTATTGCAAAAGGAAAACTGGTTAAGGTGTGCTAACATTCCAACAGCATGTTCAAAACGTTCTTCAGACTTTCATAATGTTTCTGTAAATACTGTGTGATGAGCTGGCCTTTAAACTGAATCACTTTTGTCATCTGCATTGTTACTTAAAATGGGATACTATTTAGGTAGTGTTAGCTTTGTAGCGACGAGCTATATGTGTAAACCATTTTTTTAAAATTTAATACCTCAATATGGTAGGGATAGCTCTTGTTTGAACGTGTATTTTACTTTGAGTCCATATTATTATCTTCAACGTGATGTGCAACTATCGATTTTGTCACACAGGCAGTAACTGAAATCCTATTAGGAAGAAGTATGATAATGTGCAGCGTGTGTGCAGTGAGGAATGAATGTTGTACATGGATTTCCATCGGTGTAATGATGCATAGGAATTGCATGTCCAGCAGAGATGTCAAGTGCATTTACACTATAAATAGACAAAAGCCTATAGATTATGCAATCGGGGGACACCAGGCACATCCAGAAGGTTGCTCAGTGGTACCAATTCTTTGTGATTTGAGTGAGTCCTATGAGAGGGAGCTCAGACCATCAGGATGAAAACCTTGAATGAGGGAATGTTTGCTTAATATTAAGACAAGAGGAACAGATTTTTTTTCCTCCTGCTTTAACTGGAGGGTTTTGCTGAGATTAAATAAGATGCCAGATGCATTCCTGGCACACAGCAAACGACTTTTGGGTAACATGGACAAAATACAGAAACCCAGCCTTTTTATTGCCTGTGATGTTAGCACCATCTTTCAAACCTGAAAAGTGACACCTTATAAGCAAAAGTAATGCTGCAGGGATAACCATAGGATGCCGTGGTGCTGCCTTTTTTTTTTTTTTTTTCCGAGAAGATAGGTTTTTCTTTACACTCACAGAGATTTGCATTTTTCAATTGTTTGATTGGGTTAATTGGTATGTTTACAGCTGTTGCAGACTGTAGTGTCTCCTAAGGCTAATCTTGAGGTAATGTGTTTATTAAAAGCTAAAAAATAAAGATGATACATCAGTGCACTGCTTCTTCACTGTCAGTAGCCTGTGAGAATGGACAAGACTGGGGCATTGACATTAGCACATCCTGCTGAGTTTAATGAAAGGAGATGGTTTGAGCAGTTTAGCCATAAAATGTCTTGGTGGTGTTACTCAGAAACAACTTGTGCTGTTATTGAAGATCCCACTCTAACTCTGGATAGCTTGTATATATTATTATTAGTGCATATTATTTGCTGCAAGCAAGCAAGGACACAAGATGTTTTTCCACAGAACTGTTCTTTCCCATTTTACTTGCAGTTTAAGCTTACATTAACCATGATTAACAGTTCTCCCGACATGGGAATGAGCGTACAGGAAGGAAGGAAGGGAAGGTAATACTGCTAGCTTGCACAGTTGCGCTGGAAGCAGGACAACATTTAAGAAAACTGTACCACTACCTTCCTATTTGCCTGCTTGGAGTGGCAGAAAACTGTCACTCCATGGAGCAGTGTCAGGGAGTAGAAAAGATCCTTGTACCTTGCAAGGACAGCAAAAAAAACCTCCCTGGTCCTTTGCCACAAGGGAAGGAAGGATGCAAGCAAAGGAAGGATGTAGACTCTGGTGTGACTGCCTTCTGCCACAGGTCGAGCGTGCTGCTGAGTGGTTGCTCAGTATCTGATGGATCTCTGATGGATCTCTGATCTCTCTGGAGTTACCACTGTACTGATAAGCCCTGGGTGATTTTGTCTGTCTTTCTGCTCAGGCAAATATACCATTAACTATTTTTGTTTCCCATTTTCAGACTTTTCTTCAGAATTGTTAAGTGGGTGGAACATTGACAGTTGTTAGTGATTTTATTACTTTGGGAATCTTTCACGGGCTTTTTGCCTTATGCTGATTATACCACATCTTGTGAATGAATTTCACATGCTCTCAGAAACTAGATGTCAAAACTCCCACTGAAGAATAATAGCTTTGAGCATTGCATAGGTCTGCTAAGCAAGCTGTCTGGTCTGCCCTGCAGGAGACTTTGTGCAGAGGAAGGAATCCCTGGAAAAATAGTTGCCCCATATTTTAATAGTTAAGACAGTCTGTTT